TGCGATATGATGGTACTGTATATCAATATCAACCTTACCGTTGTTCATGCGCAAAACAGCAAATGCTATAGAAGCAGCTTGTAAATACAGATGTACGCCAATCATATCCGAATTAAGCAGATCATATTCTTATTGTTTTTTCAGCGGTTGACGACATTTAACATTACAGGTTACTAGCAGGTCGATTTTTTCGATTTTACTTCCTTATTTTATGCAAAATGAAAAAACTTACTCTGTCACTCATACGATTTTGAGTATTTTTATGTGTTTGCTTAGCAATGCAAATATTGGGATGATTAATGGATTTGACAAGCTTCCCTTAACTGAACTGATTCTTATATTGAAGTATGTGACATTTTCAATCTCTAGTGCACAGTCATGACAAATAAAACTAACTTCATACTGAATTTCCGATTATATAGGAGTTCCACGGTTACAATATCTACACTCCCCTCCATAAGTTTGGCAACCTTAGCTCCCTCATTGAACTACGTATTTGTTTTTAACAACTACGCAATTGTTTTTACATAGCCTACTTATAATATTGATGAAAATGTAACTTGGTTTCATTTCCAATGCCTCAAAATTTTCCCAATTTTTTTCTTCAATTACAATAGGTCGTAAATCGATGATCAATTTGATGAATTTTTGAAAATGAACATTCCCGTGTAAACCAATGGGAAGCGGTAGGTTTGAAGCGAGTCATAAGACATAATATTCATCCATCCGAGTTCCTGCAAAAAATACAAGTTAGGTAGTCAATTGAGTTTGCTAACTTTATTTTTAAAAAGATGATACGTTTGTTCAGGTTTAAAAAAAAGTTATACGTTTTCAAAGTTTTTAAACTCCTCCTATTGAAATAACACAGGAGGCGAAAACTGATTTTCAAAAATGACTCTGAAGCTCTATAACTTTAGTATTAATAAAGTAAACTAAACACTTAGCATACAAAAAAATTAGACAATACATCTTCTATATAAAGATGTTTTGGGGGAATCTTTTACTGAATAGATATCCTGAAATAAGATTTGCACCGAAGCCACCATTTCCCATTGGTTTACATGGGAATGACGATTTTCAAAAGTTCATCATATTTTTCATCAATTTTCAACCTATTGTAATTGAGTTAAAAAAATTGGGAAAATTTGGAGGCATTGGAAATGAAGTCAAGTTACATTTCCAACAATATTATAAGTTTTTTCCTCGCAGGTTATGTTAATAAAAATTCAACATAAAGAGGCTTTTACATATAGTTCAATGAGGGAGCTAAGGTTGCCAAACTTATGGAGGACAGTGTATATTCATCTATAGCTAGTGGTAGTTGGACCAAGTTGGATGGAATACAGGCGAGGGTTGATATGCTTAGGGTGAAGTTGAATGCGGTAGTGAATTGGCAGAACAATGGTGGAGTTAGAATATTATATAAAGTGGTTTGTGTCGAATCTGACGGATTGTATCCAGATGATTGTATTGCTGGATATTGACCCAAGGGGGAGTGCCTAAGTAGATATCAAATAATTAGTCAAAAAATGTCAAGAAAGCATTCCCCATATGCATTTAGTGTTGAATAAATTGGATCTTAAAAAAGATGTCAACTCATGTGGTATTTGCTACTCCTATTTGACCATTTTCTGTTCTATGGAAGGCTGGTAATTTATGCACAATGATAAGTTTCATATTTTTAATGTTTTGCAGTAGGTGGTTGGGCTTACCTCCGCATGTATTCAATGGGCCACTCCAGTCAGATACACTTCCAGTCCTTGTATCATTAGCTTCATATGGGTACAATACTGACACATGGAAAACAAAGCTGCTATCCTTTTAGAGGTCGCAACGGTACTGAAAACCAGTACAGGTAAAATGTATGTAAGATAAAATGCCAATGCGCTGCCACCCCCACTTTGTTCCTAACTCTCTACATAGCTTCTCAAGTCTATATGCATACATGGTGCAAGACCGATTTGAACCCATACTGATGAACTTCACGAAATAGTGTGTAACTATCTTACGAATCAAGATGTATTTTTAGTTTTAAATTAAATGTATTACACATTTCAAACCATTTCTCAACTGTATCAATAATGACTTATTCCGTCCCCACGTTATAGCAACTCTCCTACATCCGACTTACAAAAAGATGATAAGGGCTCTACGTATGTTAATATATATTTCGTTTATATTTAAAAGGTATCGATATGGAGAACTGAATTCAACTATGTATTTCTCTTAAACCAATCATTGAAAACATTCTGTAAAAAAACATGGTATTTTATGTAATGTTGACTGATTGACAACAATTTAATGCGAAAATTATTTAGAAATATTTTATATAACTGTTTTTTTAACATTTTTTGTTTTTTTTGTTAGTGCAATTGTTTTTGCTCCTTTCTACCAATTCTCGAGAATGAAATAAAATGTCTTTCCGAACCTTGTTGGAGCAAAATAGCATATACGTCAACATGTTTTTAGACCTCTCAATGTTAAAGTTATACAAAGGAATTTTTGGTTGATCTTAAAAAAGTATTCAAAAAATTAAAACAAAATCCCCCCAAAATAGATAAAAATCATAATTTTTTTTTTATTTCATTAACAAGATACTTTTTTAAAATCAACCAAAATTTTCTTTGTACAATTACAATATTGAGAGACCTAAACATGTTGTGTTTATGTCGTTTTGTTACAATGATCATGCGAGGTTCGGAAAGATGTTTCATATCACTCTGGAAACATGATACCAAAAACAAAACAAGTGTTTGATGTGATTTTAAAACAATATAGATAAAAGTATATCTATTTCAAAAAGTTCGCCATATCGATACCCACTCTAAAATTAAAACTTACGAAAGGCACGTGAGTTCAGATTCTTTTATTTATTTGTTTCCTAAAACACTTTAGCAGAGAGCTTGTACTTTATTTTGTTCACAATTAAAAGCTTAGATACTATATCACAAAATATTAAAGTTACAAATATAATACGAAATGTAGGTTATATTAATTCAACTTATTGTCAATGCCTTGTTGTTCGTAAATGACTATTACAAACATAATTCAGTTTTCTGGATCTGACGTTGACACTACAACTACACCGGAACTGCCAAACATAACTACAACCAAATCTGAGCCTGAGCATGAAGCTACTACACCCGAACTGCCAAACATGGACATCACACCTGAACTGCCAAACATGGACATCTAAATGTCTATGTAAATGTACGCATCGTGAAATTGGAAATTAAACGAAACAATTAAAAAAACGACGTGTCTTTTATTTCCCCGGGGATTATCGTCGGTTGACCGGTTAATAATTTCAATACCGGTAAATGCTCAATCCCGTACCGAAACCGTATAACCGGAATTACCGTCAGCCTCTATATCCTTTGATAAATTGTCATTTGTTGCCATTGGCTCAGAAACGTCAGTATATTCTATCGGGCTATCTCCGCATGTGGAGCTTTTGTATTCAACTCTAAAGGTTTCTGTACTCGTAGTATCATGTTTGGTTGTACTCATTCCATTATATCTCAATGTAATCAGCGCCTCGAGTCTTGAACGCAGGTGTACCATCTATCTTGAGAAGCTCTGAAATAAAAGTATAACTCGATCATATTTGGATATTCAACAATTATGCCAAAATTACAGCCAATGAGATTTTGCCACAATAAGCAATTCCAAAACGTGTACTGCAATTTAATTCCCCTTAAGACTGACTTATAACAGCAATTTGTACACTCTTCCGAGGTATGCTTCGTGAGACAAAATACAATCAAGGGCACCTTGGTTGCAACCCTATTTTGTATAATCGTGTGTTCTCATAGAAGGCTCCTTTTCAACTTCAATTGTCTTACTGAGGTCCGTTTCAACGAACGAAATGCAAATAATTTACCTTTGTCACAGCCGTAATTTGGAAAGAAGTTGTCCCTGCAATCACCCTCACAAAAACCATCATTTCCTTTACAATTATCTATTATCTTACAATATCTCGTACATTTATACGCACAGTTGATTCCATATTCTCCAGCCCCGCATCCTAAAATAATTCTAATATAATATTTTAAAATAACTGTATAGTATGCCGGGAACCTTTCTTATAGTCGAATAAGCCTGGTACCAACACCCCTCTGGTAGATTGGTACAAAGAGATCAAACGAGACAAAACGAGATAATATCGAGACTTAAATTAGATTGGTATATTAGACAAGGGTAGTATGTCGAGATAAAACTATATAAAATCGAGACTAAATGAGATAAAACGAGGTTAAATCGAATCAAGACCAATCTCTCGAGTATATAAGGGGACCTTCCGCAATACCATACGTCTGATGGCTACAAATGTGTTAAGTATTCATAATACAACAATATAAATGGTAAATGATGGATAGTACCTCATGCTTATTTGATAAAAAAAACTGTTGAGTATGGTATAACGTCCGTTCCTATCTCGAAAATGAGTAATAGGAAATGTTTTTGGACGATGATTAATCTCGATGGTAAGTGTTGTATTTAAATCGAAGTATGCAAAATGCAACTAAACTCCAGATGCCTCTGGGTCTATTTACATTCACTAGTCTTTTAGTGTCATTGATTCATTGTGAATGTTAAATGTTTTTGTTAGCCCAAAATATTCAGAGATATGGCTTAGTGTTTCCAATTATTTTTGATGTTTCTAGGACTTGATGATTGGTAGGGGTCCTCTCCCTTTTCTTGAAGTTTTTTTGTCACAGAATGAATTCACTTGTTTAGTCACGTGTAGGACACGGACCAATCCGAAAGCGAGATATATGAAAGTGATATAATAATCATGTAAGATATCGTGTTTTTAAATATGGCATTGGCTTCGCAAGGATGTCGACCCTTGATACAAATGTTTACTTTCCCTATAACTGGTGCGCGAGTAGTTGTTTTATTTTTTTCGGCGCTGTGTACTGTAACAATTTTTGGTACTTTCTCCTTGGGACTAACATGCATATTTACTTCAACATCCAATTAACCACCCGTGATTTATTGTTATTTATTGTCATGTAAAAGTAGTTATATATAGTTGTAGATACCGGGCAATTTCAATTACCGATCGTTTGCTATGATAAATAATTAAGTCAGAAAGTTTTTTTTATTTTTACCTCATGCTACGCCGTTCGACTTGCATATTTATAATTGTTTTACCAAGTGTTCGTTGAACAGTCTTTTCATTCAGTATCAAACAGTATTTCACTGAACTTGTTTGTATATCAAGTTTCAGTTTTTTGCATATCTTGATATTTTCTGGTATTGCATATTAGTTTGCATTATCATGACAACTGTTTCATGTAGACACGGTTCTTTTAATCGTTAACATTATGTTCAATGTCTTTTAAGTTTCTCATAAATATGGTTATCATCTGAGTAATCATATTGAACGCTATCTGGCTGGTCTAAATGCATCTGTTGTCCGTTGGTGTGTGGCATTTGCTCCTTTGCCTTTGGACCAATATTAACGTAGTCATTGTCTATGTGTACAGGTGCATCAAGAATGCTGTCATACACATGCGGCTGAGGGGGCTGCAGCTCAATCTCATTGTAAACTGATGAGTTCTGTCCAGTTTCCCCTGTTCGGACTGGTTCCAAATATCCAGTATCCGTGTCAGAAGGAGTTTCTCGTTTTGCCAAGTTTCTAAAATAAATGACCAACTTGCAGATTGACATTGATCATGAAACAAAAGAAAACAGATAGGGTAATTTACCTTCATAGGACAGAGTAATTTTCCATAGTCTAGTAATCATGTAACACTAGCACATAATATTAAGAAAGCACTATTCAAACAGCGGTTTATTCAATAACTAATGACATTGATAATCTACATCGTTCATATACACATGTTATAATTTATCTATATCTAATGCTTAAAAACACACCTTTTATTTCTTTTAAGCAGCACAACAGTGATACTGACCAATATCAGGAAAAACAGCAGGCCAACTACCGTTCCCCCTACGATTGCACCAACATTACTTACGGGTGAAAGAGGCGCTGGAAACGAAGTTATAGCATATCGCACCTATTGTTGCTTGATTGTTATAGTTATGATTGAACGTCCTGAGTTTGGCGGAAGGACTCGAACATGAGCATAACATAATACAAATGATAATAATAATTAAATATAACTGTGTACTTCCATTTTGAATGTTATCTTGATAAAGCTAATTAGATAATCAGCGAAACGTCGAAAATAAAACTTTTTACTCTGAAGTATATGATTTTAAGTTATTAATAATACCCTCTTTTAATTCGATTTCAAGAAATCTTACGTTTTGATAAAGTTGTTACTGTAACTGATGAACCCTGCCCCTCACTAACAGTTACAGCTGCAACCTTGATGTCATATGTAGAATCATGATGGAGATTTTCTAGGGTCAGGTTAGTGGTAGTTGTTAATTCGATTTTTTCTTCATTCTTTGTTGTTTGTGTACTTATGTGTCTTACGATATAGTGCCTAATGATACCGTGGGGAATTTTAGGTTCCTCCCATATTAATGTAATACTGCATGTGGTTATTCCGGCTTTCGGCGCATCAAGATTGTGCACAATTGTTGGAGCTAAAAGTACATTATTAATGTATAGTTACTACATGTAGTCCTATACTTATGTTCATGTATATTTAATCTTTACGCATAATAGTCTTGTTTCACGTTACATACCGTGTATGACACATAAGTGCCACAAGTGCCAAAAGTAAAGGGCCAACAATTGTTACAGAAACCAAAACCAAAAAGTTTGAAGTTGCCTACAACTATCTTGTATCTTCCAAAGTCCAAAACAATAACAAATATTATGAATTGTAAAAATACGAATTTCCCAAATTATGATATAAATGAAAATTTTTCAAACAAACACTCTTCAATCAAGGTTTTCTTTGTTCACAAATTACTGTTAATGTATAACAAAATTAGACGAGCACATATCCAACACAACTTACGTCCTTCTGGAGTTCGTACACTAATTCGGGCTTCATTTCCAACTTCAACAGTAACTGCCATTATTCCAAATGTATAGTGAGTGTAACCATTTAATCCAGTAACTATATATTCTTGTGTGGTAGATCGGACTCTAACATTTGCAGCAGGAGGATTTACTATAACATATTCTCGTATAATACCATTTCGCTTTGTAGGAGGGGTCCATGTTAAATGCACAGTAGTGTAGTTAATTGGAGCAGCACTAAAACTGGATACATTCCCGGGTGCTAAAATAGGAAATAGGACATATCCTGAGGTTCTCTATTAAACTCATTGATGATACATGTTGTGCCTTAATTTCTAAGAATATATTTGATAGATATGCAATGGTCAAGAATAACACAAACCACATTGTGAAAACATCTATTTTTGAAGGAAGTATCTGAACTATCATTGTAAGATCGAGATATATCGGCCTGTGTGGAAAACACAAGATCGCACCCATTTCTATTATTGATAAAATACAGACTTAAAGATACAAAAAGAAGTGAGTAGTTAAAAAACAAAAGTAATGTTAGTCGCATTCACTAAACTGATAACCTACATTTGGCATTCAGAATTGTTTAGAATTATCGAAGACATTTGCAAATCTAAATATCTAAGCACGATGCCAAAGGGAAATGTGTAATGTAATGGAACCTAACAAGAAAAAGCAAACTCTAGGTGTATACCAGTCATATGAAAAACAAACCATACCCCATCTATTCCAAAACCATGATCTAACGTAAGACGAACATATGTCTAATATCCCCTTTTCCCCAACCATTCAATAACCAATATCACAATCCAAAACCATAACACCATAGGAAGTGTCAATCATATTGAAGTAATTGAAATAAATGTTGAAGAAAAAATCAAAAATTGATATACTCATTACATGAAAAATAGTTGTAGATACAAGACAGTGTAAAATATACAACTCACACAATATCGAGCATTCAGGCTCAAATTGTGTGGGATCGACAAAATCAAGTGATGTGATGCATATAGCTTTGAATATTGCTCCATATATCAAACAAATGTATTTTGATTCCAAAATTTTGGAGGAGACGATATAATAATGTGGTCGTATCTTTCTATATATTTGAACATTATATTTGAATTAGTAAATCCGGTGTCAGAGTAAATATAGTCTCTCTGAATATCCGGGGGACCATACCCCTCTGGACATGGTGCCCTAGGGTGTGTGGCCTTAACCGGACCATATTTTCTGTATTGGTGAACAATATAACCAAGGACTATATATACTGGCGGACTATAAATACGTTGACATATATAAACGTTGAAACCGGGTTCAATTACTTGCCTGCTTCTAGAGTACATTCTGAGACTGGATCACTCCACGGACCACTCCCTACACTGGTGTATGCTCTCACCCGTATGCTATAGTTTGTATATGGTTCTAAGTCTCTGATTATAAAAGTTTCAACAGCGATTGATGACTTTCTCGCTGTAGTGTGATTCTGAATTGTATCTGTACTAGTATTCAAGTTGTGTATATAGCATTCATATGTTGTTATTCGCCCATTTGGTCTTCGAAGTGTGTTAAAGATAACTATCAATGATCTCCTTTGTGGAATTAAAATTAAATTCGTAGGTGCATCACTAGGACCTGCAATACATTAGATATCTTTGCTTATATCAGATATTTATAAAGCTTTTAACCTTTAACACGCATAGGATACCGTTTTGTCCTTTGATCAGAACACTGACATCAAGAAGTCAGTATCAAGCTCAACAATATGTCTCTATATACACTCCCCCCATAAGTTTGGCAACCTTTTTCCTCATTGAACTACGTGTCTAAGCCTCTTTACCGTTGAATTTTTATTTACTTAACCTGCGATGAAAATACTTATACTATTGATGAAAACATAATTTGACTTTAATTTTTTTCCTCAATTACAAAAGGTCGAAAATTGATGATGAATTTGATGAATTTTTGAAAATCGACATTCCCATGTTAACCAATGGGAAATGGTAGGTTTGTCCCAAGTCATATGACAGAATATCCATCCATCCGAGTCCTTGCAAAAAATACGAATTAGGCAGGCAATTGAATTTGCTAACTTTATTTAACAAAAATTGATATGTTTCTTCAGGTTCAACAAAGTTATAGGGCTTTAAAGTCAAAATTGTTTTTCAAAAAACCTCTCCCATTGAACTAACACAGGAGACGAAAAATTATTTCAAACATGAGTTTGAAGCGCTGTAACTTTAATATTCATCAAATAAACTAAACACTTAGTGTTAAAAAAGTAAGACAATTCAATTTTCTATATAAAATATTTTTTGCTGATTCTTTTACTGAAAAGATATCCTGATTTCTGATTTGCCCCGAACCCTCCATTTCCCATTGGATTACATGGGAATGACGATTTTCAAAAAATCATCAAACTTATCATCAATTTGGAGGTGTTGGAAATAAAGTCTAGTTACGTTTCCATCAATATTATAAGTTATTTCATCGCCTGTTAAGTAAATAAAAATGCAAACATAAAGAGGCTTTAACACGTACATTGTAGTTCAATGGGGAAAAAAGGTTGCCAAACTTATGGAGGGGAGTGTAGGTCCACAGAGAAACAAATCCAAGGTGATTATATTAATTTTTAGTCGATGATCAACCATTGAAATGATGTTCATTGTTAAAAAGTGAAATGCAGACATACTCTGAGATACTATCCACTGAAGTATTAAATATTGGCGCAGAAATATATTATCATCACCAGTTCCATCTACAACAATGCCATTACGCAATAACCAAACGATATGCCTGATTTCCAAAATTGTTCTAAATCTTCGTCATAATCACACTTTTACGATTGTGTATGTGATGACATATGCCTGAGTATTCATAATCTTAAAAAATATTATATCTAATTGTTGACGTAGCTATCTTGAACAGAAATACTGTGTTGTCAGTACGCAAAAATGATCTCAAGTGAAAGGTAAACCAGTCGACGATCAAAGGCCTAAAAAGGAATGAAACGTCACCCCCTTTCCAAACAGACAGACAATCACCAGCAAATCAACTATTAAAACATTTTCCATAAGTTTCCATACTATATGAATGGCATATATCAAGGCATGAATGGATCCTAATTTATTCCTTAAATTATAATGGCTCGGAAATCTATGACAAATCTAATGTTTTTAAGTCGTCAAACAGAAACATACACGGGGATGTTAGTTCGCAGGTATATATATGAAATGCTGAAAGTGATTAGGACTTACGTGTTTCTACCGTGGAAAAACAATTGTCACTCGGAGGACTTATTAGATTTCGGAGTTCTGCAACAACCCGTACACAATATGACATTCCGGGACATAAATTCGTTATATTAACTCCGTGTCTATTTCCAGAATATTCCACTTGACCAATACTTCCCGTTCCACTTGTTAAAGATACGCTGTATCTTTCTACACCATTCTCACTTGTTGAGTTAGTCCAGGTAATATAAATGTGATAGGGTGACCAGGTTGCAGAAGCCTTTTCCAACATCAGCTTTCCAGGCCGACTGGGTGCTAAGAAGCAAGGCATTTAGATGAATAATCAATTATATTGTTAACATACGATATCATTTTCTTTATTCCGATTTGAAATATGGATGTTGTGCACGTGAAATCGCCATTGGAAAATAACATATTCATTTCTTACTTGTCAATTGACCTGCGCCTCCATTTGCAAGAACTTCTCTACTCTCCTCCGCTCCCACAATAGACCTCACGCTAATATTATACAACCTTCCAGGATATAAGTCGGTTATTCTGAATAAGTTTGTATCCATCGATGAAAGAAACGAATTTAGTTCATTTTCGGTAGCTGGTATAATGAAAATCCGATATCCATGATAACCTCCAACGGGTGCTCTTTCTAGCGTCCATCGCACTTGTATGGCTGTATCATTAATAGCAGTGGCTAGGACACTTTCAGCTATAGGTGCCAATGGTTCTAATGAAATTATATGATACGTTAGCAATATGGATATTATAAACTAAAAGCTACTGACCAACTTGTAAATGACCAAATTGAATAAAGAATTTACATATACATGTATGTGTGAACTTATATATGATAAGAAAGAGCTAAGACAGAAATTCATCATATTTAAACATATCGTTTTATTTTTTATAAGGATGAGATGGTTTTCATTTTGGCTTATGCCTGTAGCGTCTTCAATGGAGAAAAAACTATTTATTCTAATCGAATCAACTTATTTCAGTTTAAAATAGATTACATTTTCTGTCCAGGCATGCTCTCGCAATAAGTTGGTCAAAAATATGTTTTAGGTTTCATTCACCTTTCTTCGCCATTAGTTGAAGTCATTTATGAATTTTTAGTTGTAATATACATAAGCCTTGTAAATCCACAAATGATATTATTTTTACAATGTAAATTTAATGAACAGCATTATAGGTGACACAGATAATGGTGTCAGTCAACTGTGTTGATGAGATTTAATCTGATTATGCGGCGAATGTTTTAAAATTAGTATTTTCTTCTTTAAATAAACATGTTTGATATGTACTAGTTGTCTCAGGTGTGGCCTAAGTTTCACTTCAGACAGAATGTATATCAGTGTTAATACAAGTATTTATCATTTTTAATATTTTGTCATAACCCGTATAAACAATCCGAAAGTTTCGGTTGGTATTTTTTAAATGCATTTTTTTGTAAATAAACTTGAATAACATAAAAAGGAATTACTTGTAAATTGTGAAGTCTGAAGTATACGACTAAATTGTTGAATATCCTCATCTTTTGCAACAGCTCTGACATTAACAGTTATATTTGTAGCTGGGGTGAGATTGCTCAACGTTATGGACCTCTCTTGCCGTCCGAGGTTTATAGGTGGCGTTAGTGAACCAACACCGATTGGGTCATAATGCACCTCATAACCAGTATAATTTCCAATCAACGGCTCTTCCCAACTTATGATGATAGTTGTTTCATCGATTGCTCTACTGGTTATGCTACTAGGAGGAAATGGTTCTGAAAATTAAATTAACACTTGGTAATAATGAAGGAAAACAGACATTTGTGTTTTAGTCACTGTTCTTCAATGATAAAGTCGTCTGCTGAATTGATGTTTTGCAATCAAAACGTTAGGCTTTCTGAAGAATTAAATGTATACAACAGTGACAGTCTATTGAAAAAAACTATTTTTGACGAATGTAATTCTTCTCATCACCCAGAATATCTAAACAATAGTTTGTTAAGCTACGAGGTAATACGTCGTGTCATTTAGGATACATATATTTCAATATTTCATGAAGTTTATAGATATAGCAATATTATTCACGATATTTGCTAACAAAAGAACGTTTCCCAAATCCCATAGCCTGTCTAAATTACATACCCTAAATTGTTTAAGCTTAAACGTGGCCATTGGTTAAAGTGTGCCTACTTGTTAATGAATACTTTGTGCTTGATTGTTCGGCCGCCGTATAGCCCTCATATGTAACCTCGGTCCAAACAGAATAACGCACACCAGCATTCAATCCTGTCAGATTAACATTTTCATTGTTATTAGTAACGTCATTGTATTGAGTATCTTTACCGAATAGCTGGTACCGTACTGTTAATCTCCGGTGTTCGATTTTTGGCTTTTCCCATACGACTAACATGGATGTTTCCATCACGTCACTGATATTGAAGTTGGTAATTGGACCGGGACCTAAAGTAGTAATGTTCAATTCAATTTATCAAATCATATGGCATTGTTTTAATTGTGTGATTCAAGTAAAATTTAATTGTAAAATGTAAATAGTAAATTGAATAGATCTTTACCTGTAGTCACAAGTGGTGTTGAATTTGTGCAGCTGGAACTGTTTTGGTCTGGTCCACCTGATCGTATTACGGAATACACACAAAATGTGTAATTTGTAAATGGAGACAGTTTATCGATAGTATGTTCTGTTGGGAAGAACTCCTCACCACTGCAAGGAAATACCTCTTCTTTTAATATGGAGTTGTGCTCATACAAGGCTATATAATGTGTAGCGCCTGTATTGGTGTTGGCTACAGCAAGACTAATCGAAGTTGATGAAGTTCCATATCTTGCACGAACTGCAAGCGGTTTCTCTGGAACTGACATATTGTAAAGAATTAAAGAATAAGGGAAACGATCCCCCGCAACCCGAAATGTGACATGATGCAAAAAGAAAACACGTCTAACTCTCCCTTTAGCACTGGTTAATAAGAATCTAGACACATTACTTGTTTTCTACTTTATGAATGAAATGGACAAACGTTTCATAGGCATCTGGTTTGTCGTAGCAGCCGTAAAACGTTAAGTAGTAGACATTTATAAATGGAACTATGATCGTGTAAGGTAAGTTCATAAATAAAACACAAGATGCTCATCAATACTGGCAACCGAGATACATCATCAGTAGTCTCCCTTCCTCGGATTTCGGGGGCTATGCAATGGGACTTTGCCCATGCTCCGACTATATCCGATTATTATCTGGAAGGTGCCCCCAGCAGAGGTTAAACCTCCACCTGTATCTCTAACGGTTGCCATAGATGGTACTTGCATACTGTTAAGATACTGGTATTAGAATAACTCCTCGTTGGTGATTTGTAATATACAGGGTGGTCAAAAACGGAAACCCTGTCGCAATTTTCCTCATATCTTTATCATTTTAGAAAATTGCCCCCTGATATTTAGCACATGTGTACTACATTATTCAATTTCCTACCGGGCCACTATATTTCATGACCATCAAATCGATAGTCACAATGTTACAGCACTTTCAACAAAATGCTCCAGTGGCAAATATTGGACATTTGGTAAACCTGCACCCATCATCCAAAATGTCCCTACCTAATTTCAACCTGTGGTGATACACCAAAAAGAGTTTACGGGAATAAATCCAGGTGAACTGCAGACCTCAAAAAGGAGATGATCCATGTCATTCGGGCCATACCTGCTGAAAAATGTAGTCAGATCGTTGACAACCTTTTTCAGATTTGCCAGATGGTGGCCACACTGGGACATCTTGTTCAAAGTGCAATTGTGACTATCAATCTGATGGTCATGGAATATGGTTAGCTGGTAGAAAATTGAATGTTGTACAAATGTTTTAATATCCTGGAGTAATTACCTAAAATAACAAAGATATGAGGAAAATGCAGCGTTTTCTTTTTTGACCACACTGTAGTTGGACATTTTCCTACCAAAGATTAACATCATTTATTAATTATTTATTCTTATCGTTAAAGTCCCCGATAAATCGGGCTACGTATACCGCCGTGTTTACATTAGGGGATTAGAAGAGTTTATTTTTTATTTAGGTATGCAAGCTACGTATATCAATATTAGGCCTTCATTCATGTACTCGTGTGCATGTAATCAGCATGTAAACCAGGCTATTCAAGTATAATGTACACTATTTATGTGTGTACTACATACAATACAATTCCCTGGGAAACAAAACACAAATACGTTTTATATGTTCAAAATGAGCCATTTGATTGATGCAAACACTAAATAGCTTCATAAATAACATCTACAAAGTATATCTAATAGTTATTTTCAATTTCAATGTTGAAACTTCCCTGGTTAAGATTATATGGGAAATCATCACGAGACGAAGATCGTTCGCCTTCCTGGCTTACCTCTGAATCGTGTACCGGGCAATCTCTTTATATAGTTTAGCGAGAGCGGTGCGCCTGCGCAGTTTTAAACTTTGGCGCACACTTTAAAGATATTTGGACAGAACTTTTCAATGAACAGCTAATATTACCGCGAATACAGTTGAAGAACAATAGATGCTTTACTGGGTTTATTTATACTTACCAGTTTGAGAAAAACCATTTTCAATCTAAAATTAAAAATGAATGAATACAGATTGTAAATAGTAAACTGTGATTCAGGGAGTTAATGTACATACATTAACAAATAATCTCTAAATTCAACTATATTAGATACAAGAACATACAGTCGCATGAGGAAATACATGTCTAACATTTGGAAGTATCTTGTGTTATGTAAAATCAGTGTTGTCCTTACCTGTGCACTGATGACTGCAGTTGTGACGATGAACCAAACAACGTAGTTGCTCGGCTTAACGATAGTACTGATGGCCTTGTTGTTCATTATGATTATATCATACACAGTATGAGGTGTATGAACGATGTCAGAAATACTAGATCGAGAAGTGTACATATTTTTTATATATGTGCAGATCTTAGGTTAATCATTTAAATGTATTATTGAACTTCGGAGTTAAGAAAATGGTATCCACTACTAATGTCTGATAATACAGATATGTGATGTCTTAGGCCGTACAAAGATAACACTATTTAAAAAACGATTTTTAAGCAATATGTTCGACAATAAATCAATTACATTAAGTTAACTATATAAAATGACTTTTTAAGCAATATGTTCGACAATAAATTAATGAAATTAAGTTAACTATATTTTTCGAAGGTGGCTTGATTTACTAGTCGATTGTATATAATATATAAATTTGATTAAAGATTAACAGTTTTGTGCTGACACCATACATCGTGACTCATTGCTCACATGCGAGCAGGTAGTTACCATTTTCACCACCAGGTGGCTGATTCGAGATAGATAATATGGCAGGGTATTAGAAATTCCCTTTTACTTAAATATTCATCAGTTTTAGTGGTTCAAATTTCATCTTACCCTTATGTATCTGATAATTATACAAAATAAAATATGTGCAGTAAAAGAAAATATTAGTTGTCCAATATTAGAAGATATTTCACTTTTTGTGATCTCATAACATGGGGTCTATGGGAACTCTCCCCGACCTAGAAGTCACATTATGAAAGAAAATTAAATTTTCAAAGTTGATTAAAACTTTCTAAACTTACTGTGAATTTTAGATGTAGATTTAAAACATGATATCACTTTGACTGAATTTTGAATTGTTATGACGCAAATCATGATTATTTCAAGGCGCATCTAGTCTATTCTAATCGTCATTGTTTGTCTATGCCCATGGCAAAGTCCACTCGTGAATGTACACGTACATGTTCTACTTCTTCATACTCACAAACTGTTTTTTGTTAGTTTGTCTTTGGTAAGAGACAAAATTATTATCCTGGTGATGTATCTACGAGACGACTCCTCAATATAATATTACATTTTACTTCTTATTCAAGAGAATACACGTTAACACGTTTTAACATCAATAAAAATCAAGAATATGCATTTCAGATTGAAACATATGGTGATACTATGAATATTTTCTTTCGACTTGGACTTTTTTTTAGTTTGCTTTCAAAACCGTACAATAGAACACTGAACAGTACTGTGGGGGCAGATGCATTTTTACCGTAGTAGATTTCTTATGCATAAACATGCACACACTCCTCATTAAATATGAACAAAATAAACGGTAGTGATATGCGAAAAGTTATATATGAAAGCATATGAGTTATATAACATTTAAAAATATTATTGTACATATATAAGCATATACGATACGATATTCGAAATTATGTAACGGAGGAACATCATATAATGATTGAGCTATTTATAGTAGTGGGGCAGGCGATATAGTGATCCCTGTAGGATCTGCAGCTGAGGGTATACACAGTACTTTGATTTCCCCATTGATCTACATGTTTTCGTCTGACCCATCCACTATTTTAAAAATATTTGCTTATGTCACGTGTACCACTTTAATACACTAATGCATCGTCATTATAGTCATCCCTTAATACGTATGTTTACCGACAAAATAAGCAATCAAACGATAGAAACGGGTCCATAAGCTGTTAGATCTAACGAGTACTTACCACCCGTTATTGCATAGACACTCATTGTCCATTGTCCTCCAGTACCAACCATGTCATACTCATCTTCCTTTCCATAGCCCTTGTATCCCATACACTTAGTTGAATTACCATGTTTGTTATATGTGCCATATCCGGTACGGGAAGTGAAACATATTCCACCATTTTGTATTCCAATATTTTTTTGTCTTGTTTGCCGTTATTGCAGTGAAGCACTTCTTCACTTCCAGTACTCGATTCCAATAATTATGATATTGGTTAACACACCAAAAATGAACATAATATTATTCGAAGCGTATTTCGAAATTTTCGAGGCCGCCGTTTGTCGATTTTGACCAATCAGAGACGTGGTCATCACCCCTCTTCACATTCGTGTTACCTTCGGCAAACTTCATTTGCAATGTAAATCTTCGGCAATCTCCGTCTTTTCTTGAGGTTCAATGCCAAAAATCGTTACCCTTTTTGTTTTGCTAGTTGCTTATTGATGATAGAAATATGATGCGATCATACGTGACGTGACATGTATCGCTCCAGTAACAGTTATGAAACACATACTCTAGACCTTAATGATTTGTTTTAATTTGAACAGTTTACTTAAAATTGTACGCACATAAGTAGTAGTACAGGTTCAACCACACCGCAACACCCCTCTAGACTACTGTGGTAGATTGGTGCAAAGAGATAAAACAAGACAAAACGAGATAATATTCGAGACTTAAATTAGATTGGTATACAAGACAAAGGTAACATGTCGAGATAAAACGATATAAAATCGAGACTAAACGAGATAAAACGAGGTTAAATCGAATCAAGACCAATCTCTGGAGTAGATAAGGGGGACCTACTGCTATACTATACGTCTGATTAAAGATGACTACAAATGTATTAAGTATTCATATAATACAACATGAATGAATGGCGAATGATGAATAGTACCTCATGCTTATTTGATAAAAACCTCTGATAAGTATGGTATAACGTCCGTTCATATCTTGAAACTTGAAAATGAGTAAGAAATATTTTTGGACGATGATTAATCTCGATGGTAAGTGTTGTATTTAAATCGAAGTATGCAAAATGCAACTAAACTCCAGGTGCTTCTGGGTCTATTAACATTCACTAGTCCTTTAGTGTCATTGGTTTATTGTAAATGTTAAATGTTTTTGTTAACTCAAAATATTCAGAGATATGGCGTGGTTTCCAATTATTTTTTATATTTCAGGACTTGATGATTGGTAGGGGTCCTCTCCCTTTTCTTGAAGTTTTTTGTCACATAATGAATTCGCTTGTTTAGTCACGTGTAGGACACGGACCAATCCGAAAGCGAGAAATATGAAAGTGATATAATAATGTAAGATATCGTGTTTTATTAAATATGGCATTGGCTTCGCAAGGATGTCGACCCTTGATACAAATGTTTACTTTCCCTATAACTGGTGCGCAAGTAGTTGTTTTATTTTTTTTCGGCGCTGTGTACTGTAACACTTTTTGGTACTTTCTCCTTGGAACTAACATGCATATTTACTTCAACATCCAATTAACAACCCGTGATTTATTGTTATTTATTGTCATGTAAAAGTAGTTATATATAGTTGTAGATACCGGGCAATTTCAATTACTGATCGTTTGCTATGATAAATAATTAAGTCGGAAATTTTTTTTTATTTTTACCTCATGTTACGCCGTTCGACTTGCATATTTATAATTGTTTTACCAAGTGTTCGTTGAACAGTCTTTTCATTCAGTATCAAACAGAATTTCACTGAACTTGTTTGTATATCAAGTTTCAGTTTTTTGCATACCTTGATATTTTCTGGTATTGCATATTAGTTCGCATTATCATGACAACTGTTTCATGTAGACACGGTTCTTTTAATCGTTAACATTATATTCAATGTCTTTTAAGTTTCTCATAAATATGGTTATCATTTGAGTAATCATATTGAACGCTACCTGGCTGGTCTAAATATATCTGTTGTCCGTTCGTGTGTGGCATTTGCTCCTTTGCTTTTGGACCAATATTAACGTAGTCATTGTCTATGTGTACAGGTGCATCAAGAATGCTGTCATACACATGCGACTGATGAGGCTGCAGCTCAATCTCATTGTAAACTGATGAGTTCTGTCCAGTTTCCCCTGTTCGGACTGGTTCCAAATATCCAGTATCCGTGTCCGAAGGTGTTTCTCGTTTTGCCAAGTTTCTAAAATAAATGACCAACTTGCAGATTGACATTGATCATGAAACAAAAGAAAACAGATAGGGTAATTTACCTTCAGAGGACAGAGTAATTTTCCAAAGTCTAGTAATCATGTAACACTAACACATAATATTAAGCAAACACTATTCAAACAGCGGTTTATTCAATAACTAATGACATTGATAATCTACATCGTTCATATAAACATGTTATAATTTATCTAATAAGTCTATATTTAATGCTTTAAAACACACCTTTTATTTCTTTTTAGCAGCACAACAGTGATACTGACCAATATCAGGAAAAACAGCAGGCCACCTACCGTTCCCCCTACGATTGCACCAACATTACTAACGTGTGAAGGAGGCGCTGGAAACGAGATTATAGCATAGAGCACCTATTTCTGATTGTTTGTAACATCTATGAACCTCCTCAATTGGGGAAGGGCTCGGAATATATCTATAAACAATGTTTATTAAACATATGTTTAACGGAATACCCTGTTTTAATTCAAATTAAAGTAATCTTACGTTTTGATAAAGTTGTGACTGTAACTTTTGAGCCCTGTCCCTCACTAACAGTTACAGCTGCAACATTGATGTCATATGTAGAATTAAAACGAAGATTTACTAGGGTCAAGTTGGTCGTAGTTGTTAATTCGATTTTTTCATTCTTTGTTGTTTGTGTACGTATATGTCTTATGATATAGTGCCTTATAATACCATGTGGTATTTCAGGTTCTTTCCAAATCAAGGTAATACTGCATGCGGTTATTCCGTCTTTCGGCGCTTCAAGATTGCGCACAATTGTCGGAGCTGCAAGTACATTATTAATGTATAGTTGCTACATGTAGTCCAATACGTATGTTCATGTATATTTAATCTTTACGCATTTCAATTTTTCAAGTTACATACCGTGTATGACTTAAAATGATGAATAAGTACGCACAAGTGCCAAAAGTAAAAGGCCAACAATTGTTACAAAAAACCAGCAAGTTTGAAGTTTGCCTATAACTATCTTGTATCTTCCAAAGTCCAAAACAATAACAATATGATGAATTTTAGAAATATTAGTTTCCCAAATTTTAATATAAATGTAATTTTTCAAACAATCACTCCTCAATCAAGGTTTTCTTTGTTCACAAATTACTGTTAATGTATAACAAAATTAGACGAGCATATATCCAACAAAACTTACGTCCTTCTGGAGTTTGTACACTAATTCGGGCTTCATTTCCAACTTCAACAGTAACTGCCACTATTCCAAATGTATAGTGAGTGTAACCATTTAATCCGGTCACTATATATTCTTGTGTGGTAGATGGGACTCTAACATTTGCTGCAGGAGGATTTTTAATAACATATTCTCGTATAATACCATTTCGCTTTGTAGGAGGGGTCCATGTTAAATGCACAGTAGTGTAGTTAATTGGAGCAGCATTAAAACTGGATACATTTTCGGGTGCTAAAATAGGAAATAAGACAAATCCTGAGGTTCTCTATTAAACTCATTGATGATACATGTTGTGCCTTAATTTCTAAGAATATATTTGATAGATATGCAATGGTCAATAATAACTCAAACCACATTGTGAAAACATCTATTATTGAAGGAAGTATCTGAACTATCATTGTAAGATCGAGATATATCGGCCTGTGTGGAAAACACAAGATCGCACCCATTTCTATTATTGATAAAATACAGACTTAAAGATACAAAAAGAAGTGAGTAGTTAAAAAACAAAAGTAATGTTAGTCGCATTCACTAAACTGATAACCTACATTTGGCATTCAGAATTGTTTAGAATTATCGAAGACATTTGCAAATCTAAATATCTAAGCACGATGCCAAAGGGAAATGTGTAATGTAATGGAACCTAACAAGAAAAAGCAAACTCTAGGTGTATACCAGTCATATGAAAAACAAATCATACCCCATCTATTCCAAAACCATGATCTAACGTAAGACGAAAATATGTCTAATATCCCATTTCCCCCAACCATTCAATAACCAATATCACAATCCAAAAACCATAACATCATAGGAAGTGTCAATCATATTGAAGTTATTGAAATAAATGTTGAAGAAAAAATCAAAAATTGATATACTCATTACATGAAAAATACTTGTAGATACAAGTGTAAAAGATACAACTCACACAATATAGAGCACCCAGGCTCAAATTGTGTGGGATAGACAAAATCAAGTGATGTGATGCATATAGTTTTGAATATTGCTCCATATACTAAACAAATGTATTTTGATTCCAAACTTTTGGAGGAGAGGATATAATGATGTGGTCGTATCTTTCTATATATTTGAACATTATATTTGATTTAGTAAATCCGGTGTCAGAGTAAATATAGTCTCCCTGAATATCCGGGGGACCATACACCTCCGGACCTGGTGTCCTAGGGTGTGTTGCCTTAACCGGACCCTATTTTCTGTATCGGTAAACAATATAGCCCAGTACTATATATACTGACGGACTATAAATACGTGGACAGATATAAATGTTGACACCAGGTTCAATTACTATACTTGCCTGCTTCTAGAGTACATTCGGAGACCGGACCACTCCACGGACCACTCCCTACACTGGTGTATGCTCTCACCCGTATGGTATAGTTTGTATATGGTTCTAAGTCTCTTATGATTATAGTTTCAACAGTAATTGATAACTTTCTCGCTGTAGTGTGATTTTGAATTGTATCTGTTCCTGCATCCAAGTTGTATATATTGCTTTCATATGTCGTTATTCGCCCATTTGGTCTTCTAAGTGTGTCAAAGATAACTGTCAATGACCTCCTTTGTGGAATTAAAATTACATTCGTAGGTGCATCACTAGGACCTGCAATACATTAGATATATTTTTATTATTAGATATTTATAAAGCTTTTAACCTTTAGCACGCATAGGATACCGTTTTCTTCCCTTTGATCACAACATTGACATCAAGAAGTCAGTATCAACAATATGTCTCTATATAGGTCCATAGATAAACAAAACCAATGTGATTATATTATACGTGCGATGATCAACGATTGGCATGGTGTTTCATTGTTAAAAAGTGAAATGCAGACATATACTGAGATACTATCCACTGAAGTATTAACTATTGGCGCTGAATTGTATTATCATCACCAGTTCCATTTACAACAATAATACCATTACACAATAACCAAACGATATGCCTGATTTCAAAAATCATTCTAGATCTTGGTCATAATCACACTTTTGTGATTGTGTATCTGATGACATATGCCTGTCTATTGTATCTTAAAAAAATATTATATCTAATTGTTGACGTAAAGCAATCTTAAACAGAAATATTGTGCTGTTAGTACGCAAAAATGATCTCAAGTGAAAGGTAAACCAGTAGACAGTCAAGGGCCTAAAAAAGAATGAAACGTCAACCCCCTTCCAAACAGTCAGACAATCACCAGCAAATCAACTATTAAAACATTAATGCACCCGCATCTCCATACGGTTGGCAACCAGAAGTTTCCATACTATATGGATGGCATATATCAAGGCATGCCAATGAATGGATCCTAATTTATTCCTTAAATTATAATGGCTCGGAAATCTGAATATGTTTTTAAGTCGTCAAACAGAAACATACACGGGAATGTTAGTTCGCAGGCATAAATTACAGTATATATATGAAATGCTTAAAGGCCCCATATAAAGTTTAAACCACCTTGGCTTATATTGTAGTCTTACCCAATGTTATCAAAATGTGATATGTGAAACTTTTTTTTAATTTCAAAAAGTGTTTTTTGATAGACTTTTTGTTCCAAAATTTGTGAATTTATTTAAAACCAACTTTTAGAGGTCACTCATATCTTCTAATTAGCCATAATTCATACCAATGTATAGCAATCATCCTCCCATTTTTTTTGCCGAAAAAATTAAGAAAATCGGTTCATAAATAAGCGAGAAATGAACTTATCAGTGCATGAAAATGGTTCTGAGAAAAATGCATTTCAAAATTTTAGTTCTCATAGAAACCAATGGTACAATGATATCTAAACATAATTTATTCTTCCTTTTAACCTGGTTAGACAATCAACATTGTTTTTTTATGAAAGTTTAGCATATTTAGAAAAGATTGACATCGAAAAAAAAATTCAATTTTTTTCAAAAAGTTTTTGGTACCTTAGTGACATCACTAATGTTTAAAAATATTTTTGATATGCTAAAACATTGCAGTGGCCCTTTGAATATGGCATTTTATTATTGAAATAGTGTGTCCTTTGTTCAATCTTTGCATTGGTGTTAAAAAGATAATCTTTTTTTGAAATGCATTAAGAAATATTTGATGATTAAGAAATTTCAACTTTTTTTGAAAAATGGCGGGAAATTTGAATATTTGAGAAATGAAATGCTCATAACTTTTTTTTCAAAAAGTTTTTTTGGTTCAAAAATCTCTAAAATCACTTTTTAAGTCCTGACAAATAGTAAATGAATGATAAAAAAATATTTTCAAACTTTAGACGGGGACTTTAAAATGATTAAGACTTACGTGTTTCTACCGTAGAAAAACAATTGTCACTCGGAGGACTTATTAGATTTCGGAGTTCTGCAACAACCCGTACACAATATGACATTCCGGGACATAAATTCGTTATATTCACTCCGTGTCTATTTCCAGAATATTCCACTTGACCAATACTTCCCGTTCGAATTGTTAAGGATACGCTGTATCTGTCTACACCATTCTCACTTTTTGAGATAGTCCAGGTGATATACATGTGATAGGGTGACCAGGTTGCAGGAGCCTTTTCCAACATCAGCTTTCCAGGCCGACTGGGTGCTAAGAAGCAAGGCATTTAGATGAATAATCAATTATATTGTTAACATACGATATCATTTTCTTTATTCCAATTTGAAATCTGGATGTTGTACACGTGAAATCGAAAACGATTCAAAGTATGTGCCATTGGAAAATAACATATTAATTTCTTACTTGTCAATTGACCTGCGCCTCCATTTGCAAAAACTTCTCCACTCTCCTCCGCTCCCACAATAGACCTCACACTAATATTATACAACCTTCCAGGATATAAGTCGGTTATTCTGAATAAGTTTGTATCCTTCGATGAAATAAACGAATTAAGTTCATTTTCTGCTGCTGGTAAAATAAGAATCCGAAACGTATCATAGCCCCCGTCTGGTGCTCTATCGGGCGTCCATCGCACTTCTATGGCCGTATCATTGATAGCAGTGGCTAAGACACTATTAGCAAGAGGTGCCAATGGTTCTAATGAAATTATATGATATGTTAGAAATATGCGTATTATAAGCTTATTGAACAAAATGTAATTGAATAAATCATGATATGGCCTCAATCATAAATCTATACATAGATTTATTATTTCAATAATGTATCCAAAAAGTTTTTTTTAATTATCTTCATGCTTTGGTCACATAACAATCTACGACGGTTATAGAACTCGACATAATCTACAGGGTGGTCAAAAAAGGAAACCCTGCATTTTCCTTATATCTTTGTCACTTTAAGGAATTACTCCCTGATATTTCATACATTTGTACATCATTCAATTTCCTACCACCCTATTTCATGACCATCAGACTGATACTCACAATTTTACAGCACTTTGAATAACATGCTTCAGATTTGGCCATTATCGCGTTGTAGGCAATACAGCACAGTTGTCAATGACCCAAATGCATTCCTCAGCAGTTATGGCCTGAATGACACAAATTATCTCACTTTTGAGGTTTGCAATTGTCCTGAGGTCATTCTCATATACTCTATCTCTCCCATATCCCCACAGGTAGGGACATTTTAGACAATGAGTACGGGTTTCCTCACAACGCAATAGTGGTCACTAACTGGGCATGTTCTTTAAAGTACTGTAACATTGTGACTATCAATCTGATGGTCATGAAATAAAAAAGGCTGGAAGCAAATTGAACGATGTACTTAAAGTGCCCGATAAACTATAAAATGCGCATGCGTCCAGGTGTTGATAAACTATAAATAGCGAAAATCCAGGGTTTGTCACCACAAGGTAAGCCAGGACGTGTTGAGAGAACAGCTAGTGTTGATATTGAATTTACATGTAGCCAGATAAGTTTCCTTATTGAAATTACATATAGTTATTAGCAATACTTTGTAGGTGCTAAATAATAAAACATTTAGAGTATATATAAGAGAAATTGGTCATTTCGAACCTGTTGAAAAGTTTGTGGCTCTCGGCTACACCGGGGAATTTACTTCCATGAGTACACACATAAATGTGGGGTTCCCCAAGAGGTACGCGACAAGGTGACCTGGCATCAAATGTGCGACTAAATGCTACTATCGAGAAGATAAAATAACGAATACGACAATAAGTTATTGCATGTGACAATTCCGAGCCTTCATCTCACTGAAGTATTTTGAAGTGAAAATAGGATTTTTGTTTTGATACATGGATTCAGATGAACGTAACTTTATTCTGACAACTAATCAAAACTGAACAAAATTGATTGTACGTAACCAGACAATTTATTGTTTTACAATGTTTTGATTGGCTAAACGAATGAAACCAACAAATTATGACATGTAAAATGACAATTTTGAAATGTAAAATTTAAAAGTGACAATCACAACCTCCCTATCCACTCTTTGGGAGCCCTAGTAAATTAGTAATATGTACATGCAGCAGTAGTAGTGTACAGCTTATTATCACACTACGCTTTGTTTTCTAAAGCCTGTTGTTTGTAATAACACTGTTCACTCAACGTATGTTTTGTGTGTGGGCAGTCAACGATAATCATTGTTTTATCCCGGTTATATGACCTCGGCAATTATAACAGAACCGTACTAAACGAAAAAACGCAAATAAGAGAAAGCTTTCACACACATATAAAAAATGAACTAGTCTAATCCGCCAGTATAAACTCTGTGCTATACGTAGCCGGGTCAGGCGCACACTTTAAGTGTAAAATATCAGGGAGTTATTACATAAAATGACAAAGATATGAGGAAAATGGTATTAGGGTTTCCATTTTTTGACCACCCTGTATTCAGGCTATTTTCTCTGGGTTGATCTTATACACGGTGTTATACATGCCAAAAAAGAGGGAAGACATAAATTTAGCATGTTTAAACATAACGTTTTATTTTTAATAAGAATGGGATAGCTTTGTTTTTGGCTTGTGCCTGAAGCGTCTTCTTAATGAGGAAAATCTCATTTATTCAACTAATTCCATTAAAAATTAAATATATTACATTTTCTGTCTAGACAAGCTCTCGCAATAGGTTGCTCAAAATAGTTTCTAAGTTTGATTTACCTTTCGTCGCAATTGGTTGAAGTCATTTTTGAATTTCTAGTTGTTGTACACATTAGACCTGGTATTACGACAAATTATATTCTTTATACAATGTAGATTTCATCGGGAGCATTATAGGCGCCACAAATAATTTTATCAATCGACAATCTGTCAATATATGTATGTGTTGATGAGATTTATGTGATGAATGTTTTAAATTGGTATTCCCTTCTTTAAATAAATATATTTGATTACTGTGTCAGTTGTAAGGTTCACTTTAGAAAAAAATATAATATTAGGGATGTTTCAGCTATTCGGAATCTGAAAGTGAGCTTTACAGGGAAAGTGAAAGTCAGATTTCAGGGGTCATGTCATAAGGGTTTAGAAAGAAACAACAATTTATTTCCAAAATTTATTTGTTTTTCTTCAAGAATATGTTTCACAAACAAGGAAACCTTATCAGCAAATGTGGATACGTTTCATATAAACTCTACAATAATGGTAAACAAATACATATTTATTTATCTAGACTCAATTATTATCAAGAGAATCATAAACAATAATGAATACATACCTTTCTGTTCCGACATTTTACAGTGGTATAATACAAATACTATATGTAGTCTACTCTCATACTATATACCCATTGAAGCTTTTGAAATAGATCCTGAGTTGTTTAGGCAATTTCTTCAGGGAGAATGTCAAAAATAGTGAAGTATTTTTATGATTGTATTTTCAGTAGAATGCGCAATTTGAGCCTAAGAGAGAAGCATGCATTAGTTGCATTGCTTATGTTTCTAGCTGCACCACCACCAGGCCTTCAAAGTGAGATAATTCCAACCCTATTGTTTTAATTGGCGCCTCCTCCAGATCCGTTGTTAAATTTTCGTAACAGATTGGGCGCAGATAACAACAATTGGCAAGGACGAGATGTCCTTGGATTATTTGAAAAACACCCATATGAGTTTTTTGAAACTGTTGGTGAAACAGTTAATACGTTTCATGAGATGGTTGGTAATTTTCTGCCTAGAACTTTTGGTATGCGACATAACATGTCACCTCACAATAGACTACTCCTCACATTGATCTGGCTGAGATCGTACCCTTGTTATCCTCTACTCTCGCTGATGCTCGATGTTAGCATTACAACTGTGTCACGAGTCATTAATGATGTTTGGCCAATATTATGGGAACTATATGCAACAATGTACGCTGGCCATCTCTTGAAGAATGGAATGCAATGAGGAATAATTGGAATGATCTCCCATTTGCAATTGGCTCTGTTGATGGAACATCCCATGAAATTAACAGGCCAGAAAATGAAGCCCAAGCACTTTTTTACTCTGGAAATAGAGGATACCATTGTATGCATACCCAAGTAATAGTAGATAATAATAACAATGACCTTTGTTATGTCCATAGTGGCTTTTTAGGTCATATGAATGATGCACAAACATTTGGCTATATGGCAAATATTGGGCCCGGGGGACCTTTAGTATTCCCTGAAGACTGTAGACTTTTAGCTGATAAAATATATCCATGTCGATACCCACTCCTTAGGAAGTATAAAAGTTCTGAAATACGCAGAAAACCCCTAAATTTACGTAAAAAATGTAAGACGCTAAACAGAAAAATTGGGAGTAGGCGGAGTTATCTCTTTGAGACTACTTAAACTGCTCAATCAACTGTTCTATCAATACATGTAATATTCAGTACAAGAGAATATACTTTGTGTCATATTTCTAATAAATGTAATCCACAGCGAATAACAAATAAAAGCATCTTGAAATTATTTTAATGTTGCTATATTCTCTAAAAAGCACATTGATGTTTTTAGCTTTGAAACTATTGTTTTATCAGTTATAATAAACGTTTAATGCAACTGAACTTATGGCATGACCCCTGAAATCTGACTTTCACTTTCCCTGTAAAGCTCACTTTCAGATTCCGAATAGCTGAAACATCCCTATTAGGTCTACAGTGTTAATAAAAGTATTGAGAATATAAAATCTTTTGGCTGAAGCTGTATATACAATCCGGATGTCTGGTTGGTATTGGCGATTTTTTCACCAGTTGAAGTAAGATCAAAAGTGCTCTAACTTATATAAATATCAATGAATCTGGCTCATTTTGTCACAGAATGTTGATCTACTAATTAGTCACACATACAATAAATGTCAACATGTTACATTTAATATTTTGCGTTCTGTGGTAACTTTGGCAACCCATGTCGAGGGTACCCAGAGCAGTCAAAAAAGAAAGAAAATTGTGTGATGTTTTCTTTCTTAATGGTTCTAATGAATATTACCATATTTTGTTACATTCAATGCATTATTTTATATCATTATTTTCTCAGATGTTCAATTTATGTGTTCTGTAAATTTGCTATTATATTCAACACACTTTTGTGACGTTTAATCCAGTCTATGAATACATGTTTGAACGCCACTCGCACTTGAAAAGACCAAAGTTGGTAGATCACTTCAAGAAAATACCAAAGTTGGTAGATCACTTCATCCTGCATTGGGATAATGTATCTTGCCTTACAACAAGTCTAACACACAAACAAATGGAAAGCAATGGGTTTGAACAACTGGGTATGGCCCTTAATCACCAGGCATGGCTCACAGAGACTTCATGGGGACCTAAAATACGAACTATGGGGAGAATTTCCCATGACAGACGAGGATCTGAAAAAGGTGGTATTCGACGTGGTGCATGTTATTAGTGAAGGTAACTTCATGGACTGGATTCTCGAATTGATTTAAACGTCCTTAAAAATGTGTTGAACATAATGACAAATATAAAGTACATCTAGAATGAACATCTCAGAAAATAATAATGAAAAAATGCATTGAATGTAACAAACATGTTTGTATTCCCATAGTATAAAACCATTAAGAAAGAAAACATCGAAATATTTTCTTTCTTTTTTGACTGATCTGGGTTCCCCCCACACGGGTTGCCATGGTTACCATCGAACGCACAATATTAAATGTAACATATTACAATTTATGTTATATACGCATAATTAGTTGATCAATGTTCTGTAAGAAAATGAGCTAGATTCATTAATATTTACAAAAGTTATAGCACGTTTGATATTTTTTCATGATCACCCTGTAAGTGCGATTCTCGTAAAAAAACGTAATAAGATGAACGAATTACTTGTCAATTGTGAAGTCTGTAGAATGCTGCTGTATTGTGTAATCTGAATAACATCATCTCTAGCAACAGCTCTGACATTAACAGTTATATTTGTAGCTGGAGTGAGATTGCTCAACGTTATGAACGTCTCCTGCTGCCCAAGTTGTATAGGTGGCTTTGGTACACCATCACCAATTGAGTTATACTGCACCTCATAACCAGTGTAATTCCCAATTAACGGCTCCTCCCAACTTATAATGATTGTAGTTCCATCGAATGCTCTACTTGCTATAGCGCTCGGAGGAAATGGTTCTGAAAATAGCATAAACATGTCAAAAAACGCAGAAGAATAAATATATAACAGGATCTTAAGAGGTTCTGGACAAATCATTTGATTCTGGACTTGTCATATTTTTTTTTCAACGAAATCACATTCAAGGGTTGAATTTTTATTAGCTATTTAGAGAGTGAGTCCTGCCTAGTATTAATTTCAATAAAAAAGTTAAAATAGAACCCTATTTGAGAGTCAATCTAATACTTACATTACATTAATAAATTAAGGCAAATCCTGAAATATTTTTAAAGTGCATTTTTTATATTATCCAGCAAGTATTTAAATGAAACGGTCTTATTTAAATACAAATCATAACATGGTATTTTTCATGAAACATTTTTCAATGAAATTCAATTGAAGGGTCAAGATAAAACGAGCTAATTTAGGTGAAAACCCTTACATGATGATGTGTTTTCATAACTTCTTTCATAAAATTCCATCAAGGGGTGAAGATAAAATGATCGAATTTAAGTGATTTAAGGATCACGAGAATATGTTTTCTTTGATATTTTCTATGAAATCCCATCCAATGGTCAAGGTAAAATTTTGATTTTGATTTTGATTTGGTCACGTGTTCGAAAGATCCATATAAGGCCCATAGAACCATATAGGAACGTCATTTTGAATGTCACGTGATAGATCCATATAAGGCTTTTAGAACCATTTATGGAAAGATGAGGGGAAGCCCCTGACACCTGTTTCACGATTTTTATGCACTTCATTATTGTACCGAAGTTTGCCGATTCGATTCGTCGTATTTCGGAATCCTGGTGACAATTTTATACTCCATTGGAGTATTTTTGACCTACTTCTTATGACGGAAATTCCCGAACCTTGTTCGGATTAATCCGGATTTTCTGACCTACCTTATCTACCGAGATTTCACGAGTTAACATTCGTCTCATTCCGGAATCCTGGTGACAATTTTATACTCAATTGGAGTATTTTTGATCTACTTTTTCTGGATTTTGCCCTACTTATTATATCTTGACAACAAGCAAATCAAAAAGTTCGACATGAACGGGTCTCGATCAACTAACCTAGACTATGGAAGCCAGGCACGCTAGCCATTAGGCCAACGAGCTACCGATATGAAAGAACAAAAGTATTATATATTTATACCGAGCGTCAATTCAAAATGATCCTCACTTTTGTCTCCACTTAAATACGACTCGTCAGTTCAGCAGTTGTATCCAAAATAGTAGAACGCCTATGGCGCTAGTGAATAACCAAGTCCCATGTGAGTGGTTCGTATCCCTCCGTGATATACTATTTTTGTTTTATTAAATACGACAGAAAGGAGCAAGGTGTAGGTTGAAAACAAGACGTTAGTTTGTTTCAAAACAGTTTGGAAACATTAATCTCTGATAATTTAAGGTTTTCCACTCCTGAAGGGCCTCTAGATCTATGAAATTCAATAATCCACTCAGTAAAAATACGATTTCTCTGCAACCTGATGTCCATTGAAGGGTCAAGATAAAACGAGCTAATTTAGGTGAAAACCCTTACATGATGATGTGTTTTCATAACTTCTTTCATAAAATTCCATCAAGGGGTGAAGATAAAATGATCGAATTTAAGTGATTTAAGGATCACGAGAATATGTTTTCTTTGATATTTTCTATGAAATCCCATCCAATGGTCAAGGTAAAATTTTGATTTTGATTTTGATTTGGTCACGTGTTCGAAAGATCCATATAAGGCCCATAGAACCATATAGGAACGTCATTTTGAATGTCACGTGATAGATCCATATAAGGCTTTTAGAACCATTTATGGAAAGATGAGGGGAAGCCCCTGACACCTGTTTCACGATTTTTATGCACTTCATTATTGTACCGAAGTTTGCCGATTCGATTCGTCGTATTTCGGAATCCTGGTGACAATTTTATACTCCATTGGAGTATTTTTGACCTACTTCTTATGACGGAAATTCCCGAACCTTGTTCGGATTAATCCGGATTTTCTGACCTACCTTATCTACCGAGATTTCACGAGTTAACATTCGTCTCATTCCGGAATCCTGGTGACAATTTTATACTCAATTGGAGTATTTTTGATCTACTTTTTCTGGATTTTGCCCTACTTATTATATCTTGACAACAAGCAAATCAAAAAGTTCGACATGAACGGGTCTCGATCAACTAACCTAGACTATGGAAGCCAGGCACGCTAGCCATTAGGCCAACGAGCTACCGATATGAAAGAACAAAAGTATTATATATTTATACCGAGCGTCAATTCAAAATGATCCTCACTTTTGTCTCCACTTAAATACGACTCGTCAGTTCAGCAGTTGTATCCAAAATAGTAGAACGCCTATGGCGCTAGTGAATAACCAAGTCCCATGTGAGTGGTTCGTATCCCTCCGTGATATACTATTTTTGTTTTATTAAATACGACAGAAAGGAGCAAGGTGTAGGTTGAAAACAAGACGTTAGTTTGTTTCAAAACAGTTTGGAAACATTAATCTCTGATAATTTAAGGTTTTCCACTCCTGAAGGGCCTCTAGATCTATGAAATTCAATAATCCACTCAGTAAAAATACGATTTCTCTGCAACCTGATGTCCAATCAAGATCATTCAAATATATATGTGTTCCTGACACGTTTGGGCGTCCGGGAATAAAATTGCTTGTGAAAACTATTTACAAAAGTGTTCCAGAGACCCTTATCTACTTGGCTAAGGTTTTATTTGAAGATACATTGCCTTATTAGCAGGTAGAGGGGCATACAGAACACAGAAGCAAATGCTATGTTGAAAATTTTCTATATTTCAATTTGAACCTGTGTTTACATGTCACGTAGGCCAGTGTTTTATATGGGGATTATATGTACTTTCCTTGTTTACATGAATGTAAATCATTACATGAAATCTGCATTCTTCTTGGTTTAATCTGGGTTTGTATTGTCTTATTGGGGCTTTTCGACTTTAAAACAAACCCTACCTAAATGGATTGTGTCTCGGGAACGTTTTTGTAAATAGTTATTATAAACAATTCTGAAAGAATATCACATATTTTTGTCTTCCCGATTTCAGTCATGAATTACGTCAATTTCTCGTGCAAACATTGGGTAGACGTTGTCATAACCGGATGCCCGAACGTGTCAGGAACATATAGATACTCGAATGATGTTGATTGAACATCAGGGTTGAGAGAAATCGTAATTTTACTGAGTGGCTTCACGAAAAAATAAGCAGCACTTTAGGCCACCTAAATACAACTCGTCAGTTGTATCCAGTTGGAATCCCAGCGTAATGTTTTTAATTATATGGTTGTGCTTTGATTTTACGCTGAAAACATTTATAACTACGTCAACTTTATATTAAAACATTTATTATCTTTTCAGTTGTATTAAAATGTAAAATATGATATATGTCAGCTTATTGCTTTCTGGAGAACAGTCAAGGTTTAAATTTGGTACACTGAATCGGACACTCATGTAAATCGACATGGTTATAACATTGAACTCAATGCAGTAAATTAGTTATTTCTATGAATCACAGCGGGATTGGTTTCATTTTATATGATTGCCAACTCTGGCGGTTTTTTGTAAATGCTTTTGACCGCTGTAAATGTGAAACTGATACAGTATTATTCAATTGTTTTATGTCTTGGTCACATTTGCTCCGATTTTCACTACGGCGCCCGGCCGATTGAGTATTGTGTTCAGAAATGTATTCAATTTTGAACAAAATACTCGCAGCAAATGTGATCCAGGCATTACACAGCGGTATTTCGAACATACTATTGTTGCTTAACCACGACCTAGCCAATTTTAAAATCATACTCCTTATTCAAATCCAAGTAAACGATCAATGTCTAGGTATTTGGCGTTTGATGATACTATGGCCCTTGGCGAATTATGATTAGATGAACCGAGGTCAACATTAATGTTTCTTGTACAAGGTCATCCCAAGGTCTAAGATAAATATTTAGGTATTTTACGTTTCAAGACCTTTGGACAAATTCGATTCAACGATGTATTAAAGTTAAAATGTATACAGAGATAAAATAGGTTATCCTACACTTAGTGTACTAAATGTATAATAACATGAAAAAATAAATTTGATATTTATTGGCAAAATGAACATCCGGAGGATATCGTTACGATATACTCCGGGCGGAGGATATCGTGACGATATACTCCGGAAAACCCAATATGCGGAGGATATTGTGACGATATACTCCGCTTGTTGATTTCCCGCCAAATTGACTCTATTAGGCATGAAATTAATTTTACAATGATATCATACATTCAGTACACACCTTGTAAGTGGTCTTTCTCACTCACATGTAGCTGAGTTTGCATTGGGTGTTGGCTTGTCAGTAGTTGCTGTAAGAGTTCATGTTGTACATTACAGAGCATTGTATTTTAAACATTGAAGTTTGAAATATACTATTTTATATATATTTTAATTTGAAGTTCGAGTTATTTTATTGCCACCCACGGGCCTTCCACACGCCCATTTACATATAACGCTTTGAAACAACTTTAAAAAGTGAGCAATGTCAGTGTTGTGATAATAGAGAATTTTCGTTATAAGTTGTTTCAAAAACTTATACGTATACTTATAGTTTAAAGGGTCTTGTCGAACTAAAATCAATTCAAATTGATTTTCATAATCTGTACCAAGTGGGGCATAACTATTCCCGATATAGTCAAGCTTCATCATCAACTAGGGACTGCGAATACAATGTCCTTTGCTAGTGTCAATTATGAACACG